AAAAAAAAAAAAAAAAAAAAAAAAAAAAAAAAAAAGGTCCCTGGAAGAGACAGCTTCCTGGGGACAATCTGCTTAATATATTCTGCTCATAACCTCCATTTGTTCCTAAAATTCATTCTTTGGTTTTATTTATTTTTGTATTTTAGGAAAGGGTTTACAGGTTATTCAGGGTCTCACTACTAGATTGGACTCTTAGTGATCCGCCTGTTTACAGCCTCCCAAGAGCTGGGATTACAGATGCGCGCCACCACGCCCAGTCTCAGTAGCCATCTCAGTGCTCCAAGGGCAGGGCCAGCACGGCAGGCCTGGTCTTCAGCTCTTTTGTGTTGTAAAAACTAACCTCCAACCCAGGTAGGCCCTTAATCCCAGCTGCACAGTGAAACCCAGTTTCAACAAATAAAAAATATGGGGCCAGGGAGATGGCTCAGTAGAATAAGCGCTTGCCTGGCAAGTGCAAGGGTCTGAGTTCAAGCCATGGTTCTGCCAAATAAAACACAGAGCTCTTGAAGAGCTCCAGCATGCGCACAGCAATGTCTAGTGCCAAGTAGCTCCGGTCAAGGCCACTTCCCTCATCACTGGAATGACACCCAACACCCTGCCCAGGCCAGAAGCTCCTTACTGCCCCGCTGCCTTTATATAACAGGAGCCCAGGCTTGCCAGGCACCCATGGGTGGGCTTCCTCCCCTCCCCTCCCCCGTTTTAGCAGCGGCCCCCCAGTGGTCAGGGCCTGTCTCTCACCCAGTTGTGCAGCTGTTTGTCCCCGGTGGTTAGCTTTGCATACAGGAAAGATACCTGTAACTGGGGAGGCTGAGGCAGGAAGACTGCATCTTGAGCCCACCCTGGGCAAGTTGGTGAGACCCTGCCCCTCCTGCGTGCTGGCCAGGCACTAAACCCTGTGACATCCATGATCCAAACTAAGCCTCTCTTCCCTTGAGAAGTGGGTGTGAGATTGGGTCTCTGCCACTGGCAAACTGACCCTAACACCCTTAGGACTTGTAGCTGCATCACTGGCCAGTGACGCATGTGACTATCACTCCGCCACCAGGAGCAGAGGGAGCTGTCACCATGTCGTGATGCTGAGGAACCATGCAGACCACTGCTGTTTTTGGAGAGCTTCCTGGGAGGATCCGGGAGCCCCTCCGCACCAGCAGTTATTCTAGGCAGGGCCTGCAGGCATCCCACAGCTCAGCAGAGGAGGAAAGTGGGTCACAGCAGGGACAGACGGCCAGAGCTGCTCTCTCCTCCCACCCCTTTAACTGCTTGGCAGCTTCACTTTGGCCAGAGAGCCAACTGGAGGAATAAACCCTCCCGCTGCCCCTCAGTGCTGCTATGATGTCCCAGGGTGGGAGCCGAGGGCCGGTGACATCAGGGCCCAGAGGGTCCTGCTCCTCCTAAGGATGCACTGCAGTCGGGGACTTGGCTGGGTGGCCCCATATCCCCCCTATGCTGCTCCTGATAGGTCCCTGGGGCTCCTTAAGTATTTGTGCAGGGTCTGCAGGCTGGTGAACTGTGGAAAGGCCCGGAAGGCCCGGCAAGGTGGCACATGCCTGTAGCCCCAGCACTTGGAATGAGTTAAGGGTAGATGTGATAGGGAGACTGTCTCGAAGAACAAAGCATCCAAAATAAATAACAAGAAAAACAAATAGGAGTAGCCAACAAGAGCCCAAGAAGTGCAAAGTGATGGCAGAATTGGGAAAGCAGAGTAGAAACGACTGGACCCCAGAAATCAGAGCCCCCAGAACACCATGGTCAGGAGGACATCCGGATGTGCAGTGTTGGCTCTGTCCCCAGGGATGGTGGCCTGAATTCCAGAAGCCCTGGGCTGTCACCTCACAGAGGAGCAGGCATCTATCACCGGCTCCTTTGCCTGCTGTGAGAAGCGGAGGCGGGAAGCAGGACAGCGCGGTGGTGCACGCACAGAGCGGCGAAAGGCCAGCGCCGGGGGGCCCAGGAAGCCCGGCAGTCCTGTCACAGCGGCAGTCCTGTCACAGCGCTGACAGCAGCAGTGTGTGTGGCCCGCAGGAGGACGCCCCAACGCGGTGGGCCGACTGGCGACTTTTTTTTTTTTTGTTCGTTTTTTGCGGAACCGGGGATTGAACTCAGGCTCTTGCGCTTGCCAGAGCAGCGCTTATTCCACTGAGCCATCTCTCCGGCCCCCATGACTGGTGACGTTTGTTCTTGGGCCTGCCGTTGTGCTCTACGCAGCGCGAAGTCCTTAACATTGTAGCCCGACGAAGCGCCGAACCCGGCCGGCCCGAGCCCCGAGCGCGCAGGGTCCCCAGGGCGGGGCCCAGCCTGAGCCGAGGGACCGGCCGGGGACGGACTCACTGGTCCCTGCGCGCCGCCCGGCAGGGGTGCGTCCCCAGGCCGGGGCCAGGTGGGCCGCCAGCCAGCTTCCTGTGGAAACTTACAGCGTGCGCGCAGCGGACAGCGAGGCTTGCGCGCGAACTCCGCCGCGGGGATGCGCCCCAGCCGGCCCGAGGGTCCTGCGCGCGAGACCCTCCCGCCTCAGCCTCCCGCCGCTGGGTCTGTGGCCCCGGGTCCTCCGGTCTAAGCCGGGCGCCGGCGCCCCGCTGCGGGAGTGACAGTAGGGGGGCTCTGGCCCTAAGCTAGTTCTCCAGAACAGCACGGAGCGACTGCGCCGAGGGCCGCGGAAGGAAGAAGGAAGGGGATGTGCCGGCCGTGCGCACCGCGGTCTGGGCCCGGAACCCGGCCGCCCCGCCGCGGCCCTCCACCAGCAGGCTCGCGTAGCAGTCCCTGGGCCCCCAAAAGTCGACCCCGCACGTGGCGGGCGGGGCCACCGGGGCGGGGCAGAAGTAGGGGCGGGGTCACCGACAGGATAGGAGCGCGTTCATAGGCGGAGCTTGCAGGGCGTGGCCACCAGGAGGCGTGTCCACATGGAGGGCGTGGCCATCGGCGGGAGGGGCGCGTCGCCCGGAGCCCAGAGCCCGCTTGCGTCAGGCGCGAGTCCGCCGTGGCCGAGGCGCCACCGCCTGGGGACAGGCACGGGCGAGGGCGGGTGCGAGCGCCCGGGGAGGTGGTCCTCGGGGCGGGGACGGGGCGGGGCGGCGCGGCCCACGTGCGGGGATCACCCGGTGGGCGGGGCGGCGCGGGGTCGGAGTTGGCGCCGGGTCCGAGTCCGCAGTCCCCATCTGCCGTCCAGTCCAGGTCCCCTTCCCGGCGTCGGTTCCGGCCCTGCCCTGCAGCCATGGCCGCCCGACTGCTGCGCGCCGCGGTGCTGGGGCCGCCGGGCTCGGGCAAGGGTACGGTGAGCCAGCGCGTGGCGCACGGCTTCGGCCTGCAGCACCTGTCCAGCGGCCGCCTCCTGCGCGACAGCCTGCGCGCCGGCTCGGGTGAGCCCGCGGGTGGCGGGTGGGTCCGCGGGCGGCGGTTGCCCGGTGGCCGGCGTGGCCGGGCGGTGGCGCAGTGGCCCTCTCGCCCGCCGCATCGTACGTGCCGGGGCGCATGCAGGCCCGCGGGGGTGGGGCGGGAACGAGGTGGGACGCGGAGAGGAAGGGTAGCACCCTGCTCCCCGCCGCGCCCCTCCCGGTCTCTGGCCCTGCCTGAGTTCGGGTGCGCACCCACCTGTGGGAGTCGAGCGGTCGCGGGGGCGGGGCGGGACCCGTTTTCCTTGAGCCGAGCCCGCCGGCTTGGAGAGGCCCGGGGGGACGTCGTGGCTCACACGGCCCACAGTCCCTAGCACCCCTCGGCCCCACCGGGACGAATGTCCCCAGAGCCTCTCCTTGCTGCCAACCACCCTCCCCACCCCGCTATTGGTGATCTTTGCTCCTGCAGGTGCGGGGCACGCGCATGGGACATATCTATCACCTCAACACTGCATGCCCAAGGGGACGGGGTGTGGGGCCCAGCACCCTGCTCGCGAGGGGACAGGTGGTCCCTCTGGCCCCTCCAGCAGAGGTTACACCAACCTCCAGGTTACTTTGTTGGCGCTGGCTTAGGGGTGCTTCCTGCAGTGCTGCGATCACATTGCATTTTTGCCCCTTAAATCCCTCCCCTCTCCTTTCTTGGGACAGCCACTTTGGTTTCCTGTCAGCGGGGGTGGGGAGGATCATACAAAGTGCCTTTTCAGGGAGTCACACCCTCCCCCTTTTTGATTTTGAGGCGTTTTCACTAAGTCACTTAATTTGCCCAAGTTGGGTTTCAATGTTTGAGCCTCCTGCTTCAGCCTCCCAGAGTGCTGAGCCACTAGGCAGAGACTTGAACAGCCCGCCTTATAGAGAAGGTCCAGGATCACCCAGGTCTGTGTCACCCTGGCCCCTCTCCTTCCTCCCCCACTCAGGGGTTATAGGAAGGGGTGGCAGGGGGGGATGAGTCCAAGCCCTTGGGCCGTGTGGCTTGTTTTCAGTTGGACAGCCTACCCGGGCCTTTGATTCCCTCTGTATTTGGAGTGTGGTTTGAGCAGCTCGAGGGTCCCTGGACACAGTGGGGAGGACCAGGCAAGTCTGACCCTTGGTACCTGTTCCCTTTGGGCCTGCGGGCTCCTGTGGACCCCAGGCCCTGGCATTGTAAAAGAGTGCGTGCTGGTAATGACTCGATCCTGGCAGAGGCTTGTGAAAACTTTCCACCCGCTGTTGCCCTGGATCTGGTTTTAAAAGTGTTCCTGGCCCTGAAGCTTAGCTCTGCTTGCCCCTGCCTCCGTCCTACCGCCCCCTAACCTTGTTTCCCTGGTCCAAGGACTGTGAAAACGTACAGGTTTTTTTTCTTTCCTTTGGGAATCAAATGCCTCTCCTTGTATCGCTGTCAAGCAGAGGGGAGAAAGAGAAGCCTGCTGTGTGGGCTGGCGGCTCCCTTTGTGGGCCAAGTCAGAGCCCGAGGAGGTCTTGGCCTGGATGGAGCACTGCCCAGAGCCCTGCAGTCCATGCTGGCGGCTGGTGTCCGGCAGAGCACCGGGTGTGGGTGTGAGCCTGGCCAGTGGAGGAGTGTGGCTTCTGGCGCCCTGCGGCCTTGTGGCTGCTGCCTGGAGACAGCCACCCTCCTGGAAGGGCAGTTCCGGGAGCCCCTGCCTTGCCCGCCCTTCCATCAGAACAGGCTTTGATTTATCTTAGGGGTTTTTTTGTTTTGTTTTTTAGGGAAGGGTCTACAGGGTGTTCAGGGTCTCACTACTAGATTGGATTTGTAGGGATCTGCCTGTTTACAGCCTCCCAAGAGCCGGGATTACAGGTGCTTGCCACCGCGGCCAGTCTCAGTTGCCTCTCAGCTTGCCCCGGTGGCAGGGCTGGTATAGAAGGCCCAGAGATCGAACCTGGCCGCTGTACCTGGGGTGCCTTAATCCACTGAGCTATTTGGCCAGCCCTGATTTATCTTAGTTTTATTTGCTATACTGAGGGTGGAACCCAGGGCCTTCACACTGAGCTGTGTCCCCAGGCCTTCATTTCTGAAATAGGCATCTGGCAAACTACCTAAAGCCATGAAAGGGGCTCAGCAAGTCCAAACTCATGACCTACGTCACAAATTCTTACTCTGAAGGCAAGGTCTCGTTACGCAGTCCAGCCTGGCCTAGAAGTTCTGATCCTCCTGCCTCAGCCTCCTGAAGTTCTAATGACAGGCTTGTGCTGCCAAACCTGACCAAATCACGGGCCCTGCTTCATGTCCCTAGAAGTCAGCCTGCACGATGGTCTGTGCTGTTTCTGTTTCTCCAGTTCGGGTGGAAGGCGGTTTGTGCTTGTGGTGGGCCTGGGATTAGCGCCTGGATGCCGGGACCCTGCAGGCCAAGGCTCAGTCACTGCTCTAGACCCCTTGGCGGGTCTTCAGCTGAGATCTCTTCCACTGCCCCTTGAGTCAGTGCCCGAGAGCTGCCTCTTCTTATCAGCGGCCAGGTGACATGTCACCAGCATGTCAGCCCCGTCCTGTGTGTGTGTGCACACACCTGTATGCACTGGCATGTGAATACGTGTATGACGAGTGCCCGCACGGCCCCTTACAGATTTTAAACCTAATGCGGTGGCGACCCCTGTCTTCCCAGCACTCGAGAGGTGGGGGCGGGAAGCTCGCCCTAAATTCGAGGCCTTGTTTGAAAGTCTTTTTTCTGAAAGTGATTGGCTTTTGCTGTTGGGGTGCCCCTGCAGGCAGCAGAAGCCTCCTGGATGGAGCGCTGCTAGTCACATTGTGCTGCTGGATGTTCTGTCTCACGCGCAGGACATTTGGCCCATTTCCACTCTACTCATCTTGGACTTGGCTGCAAGGAGCGCTATTCAAGAACAAACCTGTTTCTGCTCCTAATTAATATTAACTGTAGCCTTCTGGTTCCACAGAAGGGACTTGTAGATCCAATTAGATGGGGGCTGAGCCTCCCTGAAGAGATGGTCCGGTCAAAGGCCTCGGTGATCTTGGGTGTTCATTAAATGTGGACGCGTGTCTTACGTAAAAATGACGGTTTCTGAGAGCTGGAGGGGGAGAGGGAGTGTTAGACTGGGGAGTCAGAGTTCTACCCCACCCAGGTCAATTTGATCGCTCTAAACTGCACACTTGTGATCTTGGCATTTGGGAGGCTGAGGCAGGAGGAGCTGCTGTGAATTCAAAGCCAGCGTGAACCACAGAGCGAGACCCTGTCACAAAAACAGCAGAAAGCAACATAAAACTTAATGCTGGCAAAACATGGAAGCGGCTTCGTGGTGGCGGATCAGGCTGGGTGCTGCATCATCTAGTGCTCTGGACGCCCAGATAGGTCTTTGGCTGAGAGCTCTTCTACCGCCGCTCGAGTCAGTGTCCAAGAGCTGTCTCCTTTTGCCAGTGGCTGGGTGGTTCGCTGTCACCAGGCATGATGTGGTCCTGTTTAGAGGGCCTTGTGGACCCCTGCAGTGTCCTGGCCTCAGGCCACTCCCCCTGCATTATTTTTCTGTCTGTATTTAGGACAGGGTCTACAGGGTCTCACTATGTAGATTGGACTTGTAGTGATTCTCCTGGTTTCAGCCTCCCAAATGATGGGATTACAGGCACGTCCACCACGCCCAGTCTCAGTTGCCATCTCAGTGCACCCCGGGGTGGGGCCAACATGGCTTGTGGCAGCAGGGATCAAACCCCGCTGAGCTATCAGGCTGGCCCTTCCAGGCTGCACTTTGGCACTATTTTTTTAAACACTTTTTTTTTTTCTATTTTTCAGTTTATTTGTTACAGGGTCTCCCTATAGAGTTCTGACTTACAGTGATCCTCCTGTCTCATCCTCCCCAGTGCTGGGATTACAGGCATGCGCCACCATGCCCGGTTTTGAGGCTGGCACAGTATGTGGTACCAGGGATCGAACTCAGGTCCTTGCACTTGCCAGGCAGGCCCTTAGACTGCTGCGCTATCTCCCCAGCCTAGTGCGTCGAGGTTGTTGAGAGCAGCTGTTGGAATGTGTGGAAATGGTCCTCCTGGGAAGGGAGAGTGCGTCTGCCAGTCCCAGGGAGTCTCTCCTGCCTCAGCCTCGCAGAGTGCTGGGATTAGGGGTGAGTCTCCCTGCACCAGGCCCAAGTGTGTGGAATTATGAAGGGCATCTGCAGGGTGTCTATATCGGTCCACATTGTGCAATTAACACTTTCCTCGCTCACTTTTCCACTGTGCCATTTCCTGATGGCCGGGTCCTCTGGCCCTGTAGTCCCCTTAGCAGATGATGATTTTCAAGAACAGGAGAGGTTGAAGGACATTAGGTTTTCCTGGCCCCTGCGCTTGCTGCTTCCCCCCTGCTTCCTCTCAGTGTGGCCTACAGCGTGGTAGTGGAGGTCTGTTTGTGCAGTTGCGTGCAGGGAGGCAGATGTTACGTCTGGGCAGATCCCCCCCACCTTGGTGCCGGCCTCTCCCCTTTGGTGGGTGGGCCCTGCTGCTGATCGTTTTTTCTAGGCCGCAGCACCCACAGGGTTTTAGCAGTTTCTTGGGGGTGGCGAACCCGTGACCAGCATCTTTTGATGCTTAGGGCTCGCTCCTGCGCTGGGCTTTTGGTTTGGGGACCACGGCACTTGATTAGCTTTTTTTTTTTTTTTTTTTTGAGTCCAGGTCTTGCTGTGCACCACAGCCTGACTTTGAGCTTGCAATGATCCTCCTGCCTCAGCCTCCTGAGTGTTTCACTGGGAGGCGTGCACCGCCATTCATGCTTGATTTTGATGAAACCGTTTGGTCCATGTTTGCTGTGGTGCTCATGCTTTTGGTGTCCCCGTAGCTGAGAGTCTGTTTCCTAATCCCAGGTGAAGCCATCACTCAGGTGATCAGTGATTGTGGAAGTGATACAGGCAGGAAAAAAACTGTCAGGTGGATGACCTCCAGATGGTGTAGGGGACGTGACTCCCGACCTGGGAGGTACCTGCACAAGTTTGCATTCTCTGAAACTGAAGAATGAATTTTAGGAACAAATGGAGGTTAT